CTCACAGACTGTGTACATTTTCATATTTAAAGAATTTGCCACTGATGATTCAAACGCGAGTTTTGAGCAGTGTAGAGTGGCACTTGTTGTTTGTCATTTCTCCGATCACAAATGCAGACATGGTTTAATGTTTACGCGGCGCGATGCAACGCGCAAAAAGACAGTATAAGTCATTATAATCCGTAATTATGTCCCCACTGGAAGCAACAAATGCCTCGTTTATAATGGGTTTTAATGTTTTTGTCTTGTCGCTCTGGCCGGACAGGGCATCACAGTATGGTAAGGGGCGTAACATTTCCGTCACACGCTTGAGGTATTCAATCACAACGCACTGGATTGCTGGCCAATCAGAGCACACCTCGCTTTTCAGACCGATGAGCTTTGTAAAAATCGACGCGTTTCAGGAAGGCGGGGTATAGAGGAGAAACAATAATGTACATTATGTGGAAAATAATGTGTTTTTTGAACCTTAAACCACATAAACACATTTCATTACACCAAATACACCAAATAATGTTCTTTTTAGCAACATCATATGACCCCTTTCATAAACAAAGTATCAGCTTTAAAATTCTGCCAAATTCGTAAAGAAATTCAAACAATAAATACCGCTTTGGCGCTCTTTAATTAAACGCATGAGCGATTTGCCTCAGTTCAAGCGGCACGTGAATCCATCATATCTTTCTCTTTACTACTATAGTATGAAATAAACATGAATGGACATCAAAAGGTGTATTATAAGATAACCTACAGTACTTCTTACTGAAATGTCTCATGTAATCGCTCATTCAGTGTTTCAAACTGCGGAAAACGAGTAAAGCTTGTAAACAATGCCACGTAACAATCATTTACCTCAGAATAACCATTCTGTCCATAAGCTCAAAATAAGAAAAAATAACTATAAATAGGAGCATTTATGCGCTATATTGCATATTCATATTTTTACTTAATCTGTTGTCTACATGATAAGAAAGAATGCAAAAGATCAAATTCAACACCTTCTATAAAATTGCATGTTACTAATGAACAGACTGGATGTGTGCAAGACATATGACAACATTTATAGGATGCAGTGAGGAGGAGCCCAAACTACACTCAATGACCAAGTGATGCTGACATAGTTATGGACCTGATATTGGCACAGATTCTGTGTAATAAACAATTCTTTGTGACTGTATATAGTTCTCAGTTTGGAAAATATGTTTAGTTCCCACTTTAAGTGAACCTTAGTTCCCAGGACATCTACAATATGAATTAAAATGCTGATAAAGACAAGAAAAGATGAGACATAAACACAAGACAGTATGACTGAAATGTTAAATTGTTAAAAAAAATTAATAAATAAATAAAACCAATTTATTCTGTGGCACTTAAAAAAATTATTTGGCAGCTAATTTTGTTTCTTATAGGAGCCAATGGCTCCTTAACTGATTTTTTTGACTGGAGCCCTGATACTGTACTGGGGCAAAAACTGCCTCTGCTCAAATAAATGAAATCGATTACGACTGTCATGAAGTAAAAAAATTTTTTTTGAAAATGCATAAAAAGGGAATTTCATTTAGTTCCTGTTTTTTATTGGTATAATTTGTATACTTTATATCAGCTGTTTGAAATTTCACCAATCTAATAACATTATGCAATAATTACAGATTTAAACAGAATAAACCATCATTAAACATGCTGTAAATGCCACATCAGATGCAGCTTCTGTGCCACCTTTGGCTTTTCTTGATTTTAATAATTATAATTTTATAATAATAATTATAACGATAATTTTGTTGATAACAACCTATAGTATTCTATTTGATTGATTGGATTAAATGAATAAATATAGAAATTTGACACATAAAGACAACACAGATATATTTAATAGGTAAAAGTTAACCTTACAAAGGTAAAAAAATGCCCCTGGAAATCAATTCCAGTGGGCAAAAGTTCATTTCTGAGCCTGATTCAGTGTAACTAGTTGAGTAATATATGCCCTTTCCTTTTAACCAGGCTGGAGTTTCCAGATGGGCTCAGCCTACCAGTTTCACAGCTGGCGAGTGTTTGTGCTGGTGTGTGCGTTCCCGGCCGTCGCCGCTATCGCTGCGCTGACCACCATGCCAGAGAGCCCACGCTTCTTCCTGGAGGTTAGTGACGTCCCACATCCCGGCTTGGATCTGTGTTTTTGGTTCATGCTGTAGGAAAAATGTGCAGAATAAGTTTGTAAATCAAAGATGACTTTGCTGCAATGTGTGTGTTTTAACAGAACGGAAAACATGATGAAGCATGGATGATTCTGAAACAGGTCCATGACACCAACATGAGGGCCAAGGGCTACCCAGAGAAGGTTTTCTCTGTGAGTAGCGCTTGATTCACTATCAGAAAGAACAATAACATTAGGACGGAAGTGATCTGTGGAAATCTGCGGAATTTTTATTTCTCCGTATTAATTAGAAATGAATTATGCAGCCACGCTAATGGGTTCCCATTTATCTGGCCGAACTGGAGTCAAATTGGCTTTCATGCACATTTAATGAAGGTGAATAAAGTTATTATTTAGATGTAAATTATTTTGGTACCGTAAAGGACATTTTACTGTTATGGGCCCTGCAGCGATTAGCATTGTAAATCTTAATCTTGCCGCTTAATTAGACACGGCTCACCTCTCATTGTCAAGTAGTTAAAGGGGTCATATGATGCGATTTCATTTTTTCCTTTCTCTTTAGAGTGTTACAAGCTCTTGGTGCATAAAGAAGATCTGTAAAGTTGCAAAGACTAAAGTCTCAAATCCAAAGAGATATTCTTTATAAAAGTTAAGAGTTAGCCACACCTACCTAAAACGGCTCGTTCGAACACGCCCCCACATACAGTGGGGCAAAAAAGTATTTAGTCAGCCAGTTTTGTAAAAATCGACGCGTTTCAAAAAGGCGGGGCATAGAGGAGAAACAATAATGTACAGTATGTGGAAAATAATGTGTTTTTTTTACTTTAAACCGCATAAACACATTTCATTACACCAAATACACAAAATAATGTTCTTTTTAGCAGCATCATATGACCCCTTTAATATAGGTTATTCATGAACAGATTCCCACCAATTAACCACACAAAACTGAGAATATCACTAAAGTATTAAGGCACATTTTGAAGCATGCTGTGAAATCCCCAGGTCACCACTATTAAGACGGTGAAACAGATGGATGAGTTGGTTGACATGGGTGGAGACGCCACAGCCTGGCATCAGCGCTGGAGGATCAAGCTGACCAACCTCTTCCATCAGGTAGAGTACCATAAACATGGCAAAAGTCACTAAAATGACATCTACCATATGAATTTTTAATTTCAAATGATCTACAGAGGACATATTCTATACTTTTACACATTTTATTTTATATCAGTCAAGGTTTCTTGCACCAAAAAGTCATCATTTGATTGTACACTTACCATTCAAAAGTTTGGTGGCAGTAAGATTTGTATTTATTTTTTAATTAACACTTTTATTCAGCAAACATGCAATAATTGATCATAAGTGACAGAAAAGACATGTATAATGTTACAAAAGATTTATATTTAAATGCTGTTCTTTTGAAAATTCGATTCATCAAAGAATTCTGAAAACAAAATGTGTCATGGTTTCCACAAAAATATTAAGCAGCACCAGGTTTAAAACTATTAAAACCAATTTTGTTAACTAAAAAACAAAATAATAAATAAATAAATAAAATATTACACGAAAAGCTAAACAGAAATTAGAACTGTTGCCTTGGCAACTAACTAAAATAAGTTTTCTTTGAAACTCTAAAATTACTAACTGGAAATACAGTAAATAAAAGTTAAAACTAGGGTTGCAAAGGGGAGGAAAATTTATTTCCAAAATCCCTGGAATATTCCAAAAAATCCTGAAAAGCAACCCTAGTTAAAACTGAACTAAAACCGAAATAAAAAATAAATTAAATCTAAATAATAATATTTAAAAAGAACAAAGATATAAGCACATAACAAAATTACTCAAAAATACTAATTCAAAGTAAAAACTGAAAATGAAAATAAAAGCTAATTCAAAACATTAATAAAAACTATCATAGTACATAAATAATAATAAAATAACACTAAGCAGCACAACTGTTTTCAACATTTAATTAAAAAGAAATATTTCTTGAGAACCAAATCGGCATATTAGAATGATTTCTGAAGGATCAAGTGACAGGAATGCTGTATTTTTGATCAAATAAATGCAGCCTCGGTGAGCTTAAGCGACTTCTTTCAAAAACATTTTTAAAAAATAGTATTTTTGTATATGTATAGTATTTACTTTGAATGACTGTTGTTATAATTTGCTAACATTTTTGCTTGAAATAAATAATAATGCCCTCACCGATTAGTTACTAAATAGGCATTGGTAAATGCAGCTGGTCATATGGTAACATGCTTATGTCTTAGTGACACTGTAACCATGGTGATTCTGATAGACACATATTTGCAGCTCAGGTTCCATAAATTGTAAACAATGAAGTGTGTACAGTACTTTGAAATCAAAATCCTGTCTTCCAATTGTTTATCTTGGGTTTCCAGGTGTGGGGCAACTTCCTGACAGTGTTTAATCCAGAGTACCGGAGGATCACCTACATGATGATGGCTGTGTGGTTTTCCATGTCCTTCAGGTAAACTACACTGAACTACATGCATTTTCCAATCCATCCAATGATTTGTCCCTCTGCATTGTTTCATGTTTTGTTGCTCTCTGTCTCCAGCTACTACGGGCTGACTGTTTGGTTCCCTGACATGATCAAATACCTGCAGAAACAAGAGTACTCCTCACGCACAAAGGTCTTCATCAAAGAGAAAGTGGAGCATGTGACCTTTAACTTCACTCTGGAGAACCAGATCCACCGGAATGGAGAGTACTTCAACAACAAGTAAGCGCCGCTCATAGGCAGTATGGCAAACATATTTCAGTAAATAGGCCTGACCTTTGTATAAAAGGTGAATTGTGTTGTGGCATTTTGCTTGCTTTTTAAAGGCATATTCCAGATTAAATGCAATTTAAGTATGATAGAATGACATAACAACCTTGTCTTTTGAGCATGCCTCTGTTTTTCTTATGTTTATGGCAGAATTCAACTAGGACAATGGAAATTGGTTGCTATTAGCATCTATAATATATTGAGTTTTCATTTTAATTTAAGTTCTATAAATTTTTTGTACTTTTTGCATTTTTGTTTAAAATATTTCTGTATACTGTAACTTTATTTTCATTTTAGTTTTAGTCATTTTAGTACTTCAAACTTAAACTTTAAAGGGTTAGTTCACCCAAAAATAAAAATTAGGCTGTGTTTACCCGCTGAGTACAACGATAGAGCTTGAAAGATCAAAGACAATTTTTAATATAACTCCGACTGGATTCGTCTGAAAGAAGAAAGTCATATACACCTAGGATGCATCGGGGGTTAGTAAAACACAGCCTAATTTTTTTTTGGGGGGGGGGTGAACTAACCCTTTAAGTTTAGGTTTTTCATCTAATATTTATATTTGTTTAATTGTTTTGGTGCTTAATATTATTTATTTTTTATCTGTTTTATGTATAATGTTTCATGTTTACCACAGGACAAACCAAGTCTATTTTTATTTGGGCCACTTTGTAGAAGCTAAAGGAAATCTGAATACTTCTAAGCAATTTCTTTGGGAATTTGTTTCTCTTTGTCATTAAAGGTTCTTGAATCTGAAGATGAAGTCTATGGTATTTGAAGACTCTCTGTTTGAGGAATGCTACTTTGAGGATATCACGTCAAGCAACACCTTCTTCAAAAACTGCACCTTCATCTCCACTCTCTTCTACAACACAGGTGAGAAGACCACAGGTTACACCCTCCTAGCTATAAACAAATATAGTGCTGCTGTTGAATGTCGAGTGCGATTTACACATTCAACCATATAAAATAATTGGATTTCATCTGTAGTCGTTCAAAGCTTTGAACCTTTATAAGAAGACACGTATTACATGTTTTTCTTCGGTTAAAATGGCTCTAGTTTCTAGAGCTATTGAATGCATTGAAAATGTTTCAGGTATCCTAGCAACACCCGCTCAGATTCTTCCTCTGCCTGTCTGTGAAGGAATGACAATCTGCTTTTCCTGATTCAGTCATACTGAGCGTTTAGGATTGTTTCTCTGAGCAGCTTGCAAATTAATGATGAGACTAAGAAACAAAGGCTCTGTTCCAAAACCTAGTACGTTGCCTAGACAGCATTGTAATTTTTACATGAATGCATTTGCAAATGCTTTTATCCATTGCATTAGATCATAATTCACTTATCATCATGTCATTCCAAACCTGTATGCATTTCTTTCTTCTGTAAAACACAAAAGAAGATATTGGTAACCAAGCAGTTTCAGGTCCCATTGACTTGTGTGGACTTTTCCTTTAAGGTGTATTTTATAAGTTCATGCATCATAGGCATGCAAAAATCTGTTTTTCAAAAGGTAAGGGCAAATCCCAGAATGCACTGCAATGAGCTAAATGACAAAATTAATCCAAGATGGCAATGACTATAATATCCATATACTGTGTGAATGACCGTTGGAAGGCAGTAGACAGCTTGCAAGGTTTTAGTATAGAGGCGAATGTCAAAAATGCAGTTGCAATTTCTTTCTGTCCTCTGCGTCATGGAGTAGCTCAATGCATTAGATCACATGCATAAAGATGTCATCTGTCTATTGATTCTAGGGTGACCATATGTCCTCTTTTTCCCAGACCAGACTTGGCTGTGATTTCTAAGTTGTCTAAAATGTCCAGGTTTTTCTTTGTTTTCTTATTGTTTTCATACTTGCTGAAGGTAATGACTGAACAGTGGTTTGACCAATAGTGTGCAGGCATTGTACATAATCAACCAATCGTGGCATGTAATAAGGTGGTATCTACAGAGAACGGTCAAAGCAATGCACATATGTGTACATAAAATGTATAAGAACTGTAGAGAGCATGTCAATAGGAAAACAAAGCCAAAACCCGGCAGTTTAGAAGTCCCGGCAAGGACATGTCTGGAAAAAAGAGGACGTATGGTCACCCTATTGATTCTTACAGCAGTCTGACCTAGAAACGCTTACCTACTTTAACTGGTGTAATGGAGGAATAGCTGCTGCATTGGTTAACAAGAGCCCTCATCTGTTTAGACTTGTTCAAGTACCGGCTGATCAACAGCAAACTCATCAACAGCACCTTTCTGCATAACAAAGAGGGCTGTATGCTGGATTTCAGCGATGAGAACAACGCCTACATGATCTATTTCGTCAGCTTCCTCGGCACACTTGCCGTCCTGCCCGGGAACATTGTGTCAGCTCTGCTCATGGACAAGATTGGACGTCTAAGAATGCTGGGTAAGAAAAACAAACTGCATCAGTGCAATTTTGGAGCGCAGAATAATATGAAGCCTTTTTAAAAAATAATAAACATTTGTTCTCACTCTCGTCATTTGGTGCAGCGGGTTCCAGTGTGATTTCCTGTGTCAGCTGCTTCTTCCTGTCATTTGGAAACAGTGAATCCGCTATGATCGCCTTGCTCTGTCTATTTGGGGGCATCAGCATTGCGTCATGGAATGCCCTGGATGTGCTAACGGTAGAGCTGTACCCCTCGGACAAGAGGTGGGCCAAGCTCAGTTTTCTGTGATTATTGTGCATCTATCACAATTGTCCCCTTTTCTCTCTGCATATGTGTATTAAACGGTTATCTCAATACGTATTTGGGCACTTACACCACACTTTACAACATATATTTGTCAAGGAATTTGATAAAAACAAGATTCTCTTCTACTTTAATGAAAATGTTTTCATACTGTCTGAAATGACTTGAAAGATTAATAGAGCAAATGTATGTCAGTAATTCTGTGCTGCATTGCCACTGCAGTGCAGATCAAATACATCATAATTTAGGGCTTATCTAAAAATTCTCAGTCAAAATGAATGAAGTCTCAGTGGTTCTGCCACAAAATGCTATGCATTATTTCTAAGAAAATATTTTGACAGTGCCTGCGTAACAATATGTGCTCTTTAGCACCCCTAACAGTTCAATCGCTGAACAATCGTTTTATTTCAGAAATGTTTTAGAGACCTTTACAGTGTTATGAAAGATCTCAAATAACTTTCTATTTAGCAAAGAATCCTGAACAAATTTATCCGCGTCCACAAAAATATTAAGCAGCTGTTTTCAACATTCATAATTGTATGAAATGGTTCTTCAGCATATTACACTCTTAAAAAATAATGGTTCCAAAAGTTTTTCAAACTTTTAGTGAACAGTTCTTATAAGAACCATGTTTTTCTTAGAACATTTTTCCACTGTAAAGAAGCACTTGTGTAATGAAAAGGATCCATGGTTGTTAAAGGGGTCATATGATGCTATTTTAAAGATCATTATTTTGTATCTCTTTGGATTTGAGACTTTAGTCTTTGCAACTTTACAGATCTTCTTTATGCACCAAGAGCTTGTAACACTCCAAAGAGAAAGGGAAACTTGAAATCGCATCATATGACCCCTTTAAAGCTTCTTTGTGGAACCATCAGTGACAAATAAAGAACCTTTATTTTTTTTAAAGTATAGAATGATTTCTGAAGGATCATGTGGCACTGAAGACTGGAGTAACGATGCTGAAAATTAGTCTAAGATAAATTACATTTTTAAAATATATTTAAAATAGGAAAAAAAGTTATTTTAAATTATAATTATATTTCACAATATTACTTTTTTCAGTTTTTTTTTTTTTTAGCAAATAAATGGAGCCTTGGTGAGCATAAGAGACTTCATTCAAAAATCTTCAAAAATTTGACCGCCCCCAAAACTTTTGTACAGTAGTGTAGATATATAGATAGATAGAAAGACGAATTTATGATCCAATTTATGTCATTTTTAATCTTTTTCCACAGAACTACAGCCTTCGGGTTTCTGAACGCCCTCTGTAAGTTAGCTGCAGTTTTGGGTATAAGCATCTTCCAGTCGTTCGTGGGCATCACTAAAGCAGTGCCCATCCTCTTCGCCTCGGGGGCTTTGGCAGTCGGAAGCTTCTTGGCCCTCAAGCTCCCTGAGACTCGTGGTCAGGTGCTTCAATAGTGCAGCGTTCCAGCATGCAGGTGGCGGCGTTTGAGTTTGACCCTGTCCGTGAGTGAGCAATGCTGGAAGCAGCCAAAACAAATCCCACATTTACAGATATCTTCATTCCCCAAAATGTGCAATTGTATTATTATTTCGTTTTCATTTGATTTCATTCAAATCTACATGCATAGATATGTTCCCTGCTGATGTTTCACTATCTCACAGGAAGACCATGTGTGCGTGTGTAGAAAAACTGCCATGCTAAACACATTCCAGCTTTGCGTTATGGAATGAATGTGAAATTTAATTTGTGAAATGTTCATTTTGACTTTCCCTTTAATCTTCATCCAAGCCATCACGTGATTTGAAAACCATCACTGAGGACCCGGGAAATCAGTAGGTAGATATATTTGAATGGACAGTGTTGATCTAGTGGTGCTGGTGATGGTTAATGTTGTTGCTTTACTCTAGTCCGTTGTGTCCCAAGAACTTAAAAAATGTGTGATCCCGTAATTGTGTGCAACGTCTGCTCAAGCACTCCTCACTTTTTAAATGTTTTAATGCATTAACACTGACATCACATTACTATAGACAGTGGTTCGCTCATTTTTGGTTTTACTCCATCTGAAGAATTCGGTTGTTCTTTCAAAATGTCTGATTATTGACGGTGTTGTGCATGAAATGAAGTGTGACGATTCATAAGAATATGCTTGAAGATAGTGAACATAACCGATGAATGTGCTCTGTATTATGCTACTCTACCTATGATTCTTTGGACATGATGTAAAATATGAGCTAAGTGACATGATGGGTTATCATTTGTATGATTTAGTATGCCATTATTCATATTTTGCATTATTGTTTTATGCTATCAACATAGAGTTTGTGTTCCTATTGAGATCCACAGAGTAGCTTCAGTTGTGTCGCTTTTGAATGTGCGCAAACATTGAGACGAACGTTACATTCGCCCCGTTTTCATACAAAAAAATCAATTTAACACATGCAAAAAACTAAAAAAATAAATAAATAAAGCACAATGTGATTTGATTAAACTGTCAAAAACAATAGTTTTATTTTGATGATTATGTAAATTATGTATTGAATATAAATATATCAAAATTAGCTGTAATTCAAGTCTGTCTGTTTGAACACTCAAACTATTATTAAATATACAAGCATATATATATAAGAAAAGATATTTACATGTTCAAATGTTGAACTAGTATCAACATAATGGCTTAGATTCCATTTGATGTATGTATATACAGTTTATCTGTTCATTAATGGATTTCATTTTTTTATCAAAGCAAATATATAAAAAAATGACTGAACAAGTCAATACACTGATTTGCAGCACATGCAAATGCCCTCCTTCACGTTTTCTCTTGTGTTCTTGTAAAGAAACAGAGGTATCCGTCTGTGTGTGGGTGTGTGTGTAAGTATGGAAGTATGTGTGCTTGCATGTGAAATGTTGAGTGTTCTCTGGATATTTGTATTTATTTATATAACTGTTTATGAGAGTTTGATTTTATAGTATTTTTTACTTTGAGTATCTGTAGAAACAGATGCAGGGTGAATTTTTTGCTGTATCATTGTTGACCTGATGTTCAATTCTTTGGTGACTTGGTAGCAGTAACTGAATATAGCATCAAAAAGAAGCGAAAGTCAAAACCCAATGGATTTTAAAAATGAAGCAACATTTGATGGGAAGCAAAAACAACTTGTCCAATTCTGCTACATTTTACCAAGCGCAATTAATACTAGTTCCATGGAGTATCACGGAAAACTTCTGGTTCAATAACCAGATACTGAAGCAAAAAAGACAAAACCCCCTCTGGCTGGAAGCTATATTTCCGCCCTGTTGCTTGTAAACACAGCCAGCGCTTACACGAAAACAGTTTTTGGTGTCATTCAATGTTCTTTACTGCCATTTTGTAGGATAGCAGCCATATTATGTTCTCAGAGTAGACACACAATACAACCTATCATTTTTAGATTTAAATATACTTTAACCAAAGTGGTTACCGAACACAAACTATATAGTAACTTTCAAGCACTCAAAATGTTTATAACAGCCTTACTGCTCATTTCAATTGGATGAAGTGGCATTGCGATGGGCCACGCGTCACGTAGTTTAAAAATTCAACTGTTCTAGAAGCTGCCATCTCTGCCGTGACCGTCGGTCACCAGTAGTGTCACAGATGCTGTAGTGACAATCTTTATGTGTGCCATGTGTGACCGTGCGCATCTTTAATTGCCAAATATTTTCTACTTCCTCGGTTTGTACTGGCAGATCTCCCATCACGGCACAGACAAAAACGTGATTTGTAATACATCGACGTTCTAGCAGGGTGCGGCGATCCAAGCAGAAAAAGGATATGAAAAACAAACCATTTTGAGACTTATAGACAGACATATCTCTCAATCAGGTGTTTTACTCAGATGGGACGCACATAATGCTCTTGCAAACGTTTAAAGGGTTAGTTCACCCAAAAATGAAAATTCTGTCATTAATTACTCACCCTCATGTCGTTCTAAACCCGTACGTCCTCCGTTCATCTTCGGAACACAAATTAAGATATTTTTGATGAATTCTGAGAGCTCTCTGACCCTCCCATAGACAGCAATGTAATTACCACGATCAAGGTCCAGAAACGTAGCAAGGAGATCGGTAAAATAATCCATGTGACCAGTGTTGGGGAAAGTTACTTTTAAAAGTAATGCATTACAATATTGCGTTACTCCATAAAAAAGTAACTAATTACGTTACTTCGTTACTTTTTATGGAAAGTAATGCGTTACGTTACTTTTATACTTTCGCATTACTTTTTAAATATGAGCAGGGCTTGATTGTTGTTAATATAAGAAGTTCTATTTATAGCAAATGTAAAAGTCCTTTCACAACAAAAAGTGTAATGAATAAACCTCAGGCTGAAGGAAAAGTAAATTCACGTCTGTACAGTAGAACACAGGAGAAGAAGGTTCAACACTCTTCAGCAATAAAAAAAACAA